GGCCTTTCTCCCAGGTAACAAGCACAGATAAGTGCAGCATTGAGATATCAGCATCGTTCCTTTCTCTGAAGATCAGTGCCTATTGTGCACTGGAGACGCAGCCTAAAAGCATGTTACAGCACCCGAACAAACAGGGGTTTATTGCAGTGATCCCAAGCACGCACCACTTCACTTTCTTCTTCATTACCAGCTTACATTTAGCTACTCCAGTACTCAAGCTGGTTTTTGCTTCCTGCAACACCACAATAGCAATGGTGTGCATTTTAGAGTAGATCAAAGTAACTGCAAGCACTCATTGCTTAAAAGGATATTTGAAACGGCAGCAGCACTCTCAGAATTCTCAGCAGCATCTGTCAGCCTCTAAATTTCAATTTATAAAATGACAACACTTCCTGTAGGAGTGACAGAGGAGATTTTAGTGTGTGTTCCTCTGTGGAACAGTCCCCACACCCAGCCAGCTGCACTCCAACACAGGTCACAGGCAGACTCTCCCCAGTTTTCAAAAATCCTGAGATCCTGACACATTGCTTGTGACAGGAGTCCTGAACAGTCTTGCTGAAGGCATATGACCATTTATGTGACGATAACTGGAGAACAAATCTTCTGCAGCTGCCCTGAGAATGTACCTTTAGCAGAGCTCAGGAAATGCAGAGCAGTGCTACACCGTCGCTGCTGCTTCACGGTAAGGTCCAGACACACCAAGGAGGAGGCTGCCACTAACACCTCAGGTGCTGAGGTTACCAAACATTCCCGAGCAACTTCCACACTCCAGCCCCAAAGCCCAAGCAGTGGCACTGCAGTTGATAGTCTTCAGATTGCAATCAGCCTCTTCATGAGAACTAATGGTACAGCCCTGGCCAAAGAGTGGGAGAGAGTGAGCAGTGCTCAGAGTTGGCTACCATGGCTACACTCATCATATCTTAACTCTTCCATGCACAGATCACCGCTTGTCTGTTTATTATTTGTTTCATCCCTCTGGAAATAGAAACTACAAGAGACAAGTAGGCAGACAGAGATGGAAAAACTGAATGATTATCTAACTTTAATTAGTACTCACAACCCACTGATCCCCAAAAGTGCTATTTCCAAATCAGGATTGCCCATTTGTTGTAGAGAGACATACTCCAAAAGCTTGCCAGTGAGTCCAAATCTCCTTCTGCCTTTTCTAGCAGGAGAAAGAGCAGTCTCTGAGAAGGACGCTCTAGTCCAACTAGGACTTCACAAAAATCCAAATTTCATTAAAAAGGAGTTCTAAAGGGAAATTCACGTTTTGTGTACAACACAAAATCTCCATATGAGCTTTGGGGAAAGTCCTTGGATGCTGTATTGTACTAATCTGCCATTTATAAGGCTGAGACAGCAAATCCTGTTTGGCTACTGTGGCCAGGCAGAATGGAGAAACTCATTCAACGCCAGCATTTCATTTAGGTGAAGAGATATTACTGAGGAGAAGAAGGCTCCTGCAGTTCAGTCTCTACAGAAGAGAAGGCCATGGGAGCAAGTGGCTAAGAGTGACTAGAGGAAATCTTTTGCCTTTTTGCCTTAGAGTGAGAGAGATGGATGTGGCACCTCGTTGCCTCATATCTGCCCAGACAGTTATTTATACAACTTGTTATTCTGTGGGCTGAATTTGCTCGTTAATTCACCCATTTTTTTTGAACATCCAAACATCCTGAGGCAAGAAGTTTCACACCTTAACCAGAAGTTTAGCAAAGGAATATCTACTTCTGCTTTCAAGCTGTCACTAATTAACAGTGTCCCGTGTTCTTGTAATGAGAGAACAAACAGGAAATCCCTACTGGGCATCTCCACAGCACACATGATTTTTATAGGCCACATATTCCTCTTCTATCTTTTCTGCACCAGGCTGGAGTGCCTGCCATTACACATACAGGATGCAGTTCATGCCCCGATCCTCCTCCTCGTTTCTCCTTCTGTACATTTGTGCTTGTGCTCTATCTTTCCAAGCCTAGGGCACAGCACAAACTGCAGACACCACATGCCTGTATCATGACCACCACGCCATGATCATCTATTCTACCACTCTCTTGTGAAGGACATGAAATATCTATCAGAAATTCAAGCAGAACACCACAATCTACCTGTCTACATGCTCATTATCACCTTCTAAAGGCTCTCAACATTTAGATTCATTTCCCTACCGTGTTCATCTGCTTATAGTTTCTATAGATTTTACTGTCATATACCAAGTTTACCGTCCACACCTTTACAAAATCCTTATTTTGCTAAAAAGACAATGATGTCTTCACATTTCCCATCTTCCCAGCCTCTAATGTTGGAGCAGTCCTAAAGAAAATATGGTATCACAATGAAAAATTTCTCCCTTTAGGCCTTCTAGATTTTTCAGATGAACGGTGTCTAGTCCTAGCAGTACATAATGGTTAACGCCATCAACTTCCCCTGCAGTCTCCTCTCCTGATATGGTATTGAGACAATCATCACTGGCAGGAAAAAAAGGTTCCAGCACAGGAATTTCTCCAAGCTTGCTTCACTTTTCAAAACAGTTTTCCAGTTCTACTGCTCCAGCCTCATTTTCTCTGAGCATTTTTGTATACCGAGACTATTCATTATCCTGACAGACTCGTTCTTATATCAAGTCTTGCTCCAAGAACAAGCTGCTCAAAAGAGCAATGAAGAGAAAGGCAGTACTCCTGGTGCAAGTAATTCTAATGTTGTCCTAAACTGACACTAGAGGATCCCTAGCAAAGGCACGTTTTCCTG